TGGTGGGGCCAGTGCATTCCAGGGGTGAAGTGGGCTCACTTAGCTTCTGCCCCGCCCTTAGATGAAGGGGACCCAGGCAGGACGGTCAGCGCCAGAGTCTCTGCCACCACCGTTCCCGGTTTCTCCAGCCAAGCCCAGCTTACGCTGAAATGGTCGCTCCAGCTGCTCTGGTTTTTTATTTTTTTATGACAATAGCACAAAGGACCCTGGGCTTGTCTGTGCTCAAGCATCATGGTTTGTAAATGGCAGGGTCCCCTTGTTGCCTCTGGCTTTGCCCAACTCTGCCTGAGGTCCCCTGACTCGGTGACATATGACTGCCCCCCCCAAGGAGCCCACTGGGTGCCCAAGTTGCCACAGTTCTCTCCACCCATATAGTTACCCCAGCCACACCTGCTCATACCCGGGAGCCGTACGGGGGTTAGAGCCTAGTGTTCCCTGTCTTCAGTCACCGCTCACCACACCTGCCACCTCGCTCTCCCGGCCAGACCAAAGAGAGTTTAACCCACTGCAGCTGATGGTTTTCCCCAGGGACCTCACAGCTCAGGGAGAAGCAGCCCTGGTCACCCCAGGCTACAGGCTGCCCACTGCTCCCGAGACCCCTGGCTGTCTAAGCCACACAGTCACAGCACTGTCCTGCCTACGCCCAGGGTGGACTTGCCCACCATCAGACCTAAGCCAAGAAAGCCAGCCAGGGCCATCCCCTGGGACCCCACCAGAAGCCCTGGAACACCAGCTGTCCTCGTGACACAGGGCTGAGGGAGCAAGAGAGGGTAACAGACAGGCGAGCCCTTCACAAGTGTTCTGTGGGGAGCCAGTTGGAGGGTGGGGTGCTCCTGGGAGGAGTCGAGGGCAGCCTCCGGGAGGAGGTCCCTTTATGGCTTTTCAGTTTATTCAAGACACTGGGAAGAAGGAACCACACCACACATGGAACACAGAAGCAAAGGAGACCAGACACACCAGACACAGTGCACTGTGCCCCAAGGGTTAGCCCAGCACACAGACATGCGGCAGACCTGCCTCGAGGCTCACAATCTCCAGCACCTTCCCTGGGCAGGGCTGGCTCGGGGGCCAGAATGTTGTCTCCCATTGCGGACATTCCCTGTAGGGGACATAGGGCGGGACTGGGGACAAAGACTTTACACTACATAAAATCAAGGAGCAGCCAGTTTTGTAAAAGGGGTTTGGGGTTGGGGGATCTCAAGGGGACACTCAGCATTGCCATGCGGCTATTTACAGAATTGTAGACATGCATCTTGATTAAACAAGATTCTTCTCGTATGTTTATAGATAGCATCTCCTTTTATAATACTTAACTAAATGCATATGGAAGGGTCAGATGAGGCTCATGGCTTCAGAAGTTTCCTGTTTTGCTGTTGCTTAAAAAATAAAGTATATTCATATATCTTCAAGTCACAGTGACCCCTTCTCAGTATTGCAGTTCAAAAGCACGTTAAATCAAAGCTGTGGTTACCGACCTCTGGCCCTGGGACGGAAGAGAAGAGGCTTGAAGTGGCCAGAGGGTACACTGCCAGACACAATACAGGATTAGCCAATTAAGTGTAAATTTTTGCATTAAACAATAAATCACTTCATAGTAAAGTATGTCCCAAACATTGCACAGGACATGCTTTTGCTTCAAAATTATTTGTTTACCTGAAATTCAAGTTTAACATAGTATCCTGTATTTGTATTTGCCAAATCTGGCAGCCATTATGGGGCTATGGGCCACCTCACCCATGGCTCTGAGAAAAGATTCCCAACCAGCCCGCGGTGAGAGGGAGACCGCAGAGGATGGAGGAGTTGCCAGTCTCTTCCTAGCTTGGGGAAGACTGCTGCTGTGTACCCCTAAAGACAGGCTCCCCTACAGGGCTGAGAGACCCGGGATTCTCACGGACTGACACATGACATTAAAAGAACAAGGGATTTCTTCCTCTTCCATACCATCGCCCACCCCCACCCTTACACATAACATGGAGGCATGTTTATAAAGCTGCTTTTACCAAGAGGCCTGTGGTGAAACCCTCAGGTCTCCCTCACTGTATCCCAAGACACAAGCTATGTGTTAGCTTCCTGGGGAGAAAGAAGACCAGGGTCTCTGTCTGGGCCCCACGCTTGCTTCTCCTACCAAGCATGTGCTGTTGGAGCTCTGCACTGCCCAGGCCTCAAAAAACTGCCCACAGCACTACAGAGCTTACTCCTGTTCTTGGAGGATCATTCAGGGAGGACATGCACTGAGTTTGGGTTTTCATGGTCTTAAGCTCTCTTTAGAGAGACAAACAAAAAAGTAAAATAACACCAACAAAAACTCAATACTTTCCTCTCTTCGGGTTGAAAACGTCCAGCCTCAGACATACCCAGAATCCCTCACCAGCCAGAAACATTGACTGCCCTTACTTCATGCTGATACCCCAGGTCCCTGACAAGCCCAGAAATGAACCCCAGAAGTGAAGGTTTGCGATGCTCTGCTGGGGTTTGGGTCACGTCCGCCTCCTAGCACAGAAACACTTAAGCCTCGACATGCTCCTGCCTCGCTCCTGCATCTGGACGCATGCCTGCCATGTGTCTGCTTGGGTGGCTAGTGAGGGACCAGCCCTGAGCCTGGGGAGGAACCACTTCCCAGCATCCATGCTGGCTCCCAACTAGTGATCAGAGTCAAAAAGCCCTGGCAGGGTGCCCACAGAAATGAGCTGTACCTGTGTCTGTGAGGCCAGGGACACTCAGAGCACAGAGGAAGCTGCCACCCTCCCCTCTTCCGTATGCAGTGCAGTAGGACTGCCTAGGCTAGGAAAGGGCCGCAGACGGTTCCCAGGAGAGAGGACAAGCAGCTGGAAAGCATGGGGGGGGGGCTGGAAGAATGCAGGAGGAAGGTAAGGCTGGCACGGGAGTTTCTGTGCATGAGGATCTAGGAATGCCGTGAGATGAGCCAGTGCAGAGCTGGGGAAGCACCGGAAGCCTACAGCTCTGAGGATGGAAACTGCCACCCGGACCCTGGTACTCTTCAACCACCTGGGCTCTGAGTGGACCCTATTGTTTCTATCCCAACCACAACTCTGGTCTCAAGAACTACAGCCCATAATCCTGTCAGAGCTCTCCCTTCTCAGTGTTCAGCATACACGGACATACAGAGCGTATAGGACACATGGCTTCCCATGTACCGAGGGTCAAGAGCATCTCCAAGACAGACAGGCCAAACCTCACCTCACAGTCTGTTTCTGGTAGAGGTGTTAACTCACTCCCTACTTAAACCAAAAAGCAAAGCAATCCGCCTAGCTCCCGCTTTCATTAAAACTAAAACACAAGCGGCACCTTCTTGGTGCTGGGTTCTCAAAGCCAAACACCATCCATCAGACCTACAAGAAGCAGGAAGGGCAGAAGTCCTGCCACATTTGCTGTCCAAGAGTGACCTCCCATGGGCTTCAGGGAGCTGCACATTTTTCTGTGCTGTGCTGAGAAAACAAGAGCCTGAGAGTCAAGGACAGAAGCTGACCAAGCGGAGGGGTAGGCTCTGGCTACATGGGGCCCAACTCCACGTCCAGGCTGACGGTTTGGAAGGGGACTCAGTGCTACCCTGACTGACATAGATATATGGCTTTTTACCAATACTGGGGACAAGTAGGGAACAGGGAGGGAACACTGAACACAGGGTAGAGACCTTAGCAGGTGCGTGTTTCCTGGCATTCCTGGCACCTCTAGGGAATGGAAGGATGGGACCTCTCCACAGCTCTGCCTGGGCCACTCCGGCTACCATCACAATCACAGAGGCCCGAGGGGCCAGGAATAGGGCTTGTGAGCTCCTCACTATCCATCCATGCTCCCCCTTCTTGCCACCTCCTCCTTACCTGGACCTCAAGGGACCTAAGCACCCAAGCCTTCCTCTCACAGGTCTCTGGCTCTGTGCACAGTGCTCATCTTCAGATAGTATTTTCCCACTTCCTCAACAAGGAAAACGGAAGCAGAAGCGTGGGGATGCAAATGAACACGGCACTGCCTGCACCCTGCAGAGGGAGGGAGCCTCTGCTTCCCCCTGGGATGAGGCAAAGACCCAGGAGCTCAATTTCAGCCTCTGAGTAATGAGAGCCCTGTTCCTCCATCGTTCCATGCGATTCCGGGGCTGGCAGTCCCAGGTAGAGTTCAGCCAATCTAGTGAATAGTTTGTTTCAAGGAATGTCCCCCAAACCACACTGGGGGGGGGGGGGAGAGCGTGACTGTCAGGAGGATGTCTATGGTGGCATCAAGGCCTTTGGTCCCAGTTCTGAACACGTCCAGTACCACATCGTGCTGCCTTCCAAATGGCCGTTCACGAGGATTCTGAGGGCTCCTGCCATCTGACCAGGGCTTTGGGCTGCTTCACACGCTGACAGGACTCCCGCTTAGGCAGGGGCTTCTTCATCTCTGAGTCCCTGAAGACTTCCTCCTTTCGTGGCTCATTCCAGAAAGACCCAAAGACAGAGGCAAGCAGGGATGGACAGATGGATAGACTCTTTCTCTCCTTCTCTCTCTCTCTCTCTCTCTCTCTCACATACACACACACACACACACACACACACACTCACACTCTCTCACACACACACACACTGTCTCACACTCTATCACACACACACACACTCTCTCTCACACAGACACAGACACTGGCCATTGTGTTGCCTTGACAATCAAGAAACAGAATGTGTTGCCATTTTGTTGGCCCAAAGCCCAGGAAAAGCAAACTGCTCCAACTTTCTGCCAGTAGAGGGCCCCACTCGGGGCGAGACCTATGTGATAGGGCTTTGAGAGTGAGGGAAAACTGTGACAGGGCATGCAACAAGGACAGATCCTGGGACAACAAACAGAGCCAGGCTTCTCTTTCGCCTCTCAGGGGACTCCCTTCACTCAGCCACCAAAAGGAAGTTGGTCTTTAAGAAGAGAAAAGAGAAACAGGACACACCGCAAACAAATGAAGAAATCTCTACGGTCGCATAACTGAGGTATTGGTAGCTCTGGATCTTGTCCGTGTCCTGGGGGCGTGTGGCCCTAGGGCTGTGGCCTACTTGTTTTTGCCTAGGAGTGCATCCACCTCCTCCTCGGGCTTCAGAGAGTGCCACTGGGCGATGGGCCTCCGCGGGTTGGCCAGCATGTCAGACCAGTGCCGCAACTCTGTGCCTGTGGCGTTGCTGCCCACAAAGATCTTGCCGATGGCTTCGTTCTTGCCCAGCTTGTCATAGTCAAGCACAGTGACAACCACCTGCACTTTCTGCAAGGAGAAGCAGAGGAGGAAGGGGCTCAGAGACGTGATGCACGCATGCACGCACCCGCCAGGGACACCTCGCTTCTGTCGCTCTACCCGGCAAGCTGTCTGCGGACTCCAGCTCCAGGCTCCGTGAACATGGAGCTGGGAACCAGACTTGTTTTTTTTAGGCAACCTGTTTTTCTGCCAGCAGGCATACTTGAGCATACACAAAGCTCTAGGAACTCTAAGAATTTATGGGACGGGAGTGGCCTTTAATGAATGAGGTTAGTGAACACACAGCGTGTGTGTGTGTGTGTGTGTGTGTGTGTGTGTGTGTGTGTGTGTGTATGTGTGTGAAATACATTAAGGAGCTAAGGGACTTCTAAAAATGTGTTCATGTCCATCTCCTCGGATGATGGGGGCCCTTCAGAAAAGTCCTCTCCAGGGTCCTACCCTCAGCATTGTCAACCTCAGATCCGTCCCCACCCAAGTACAACCGGCTGTGGCTGCCCTCTGCCCCGTCCCCTGCTTGTCTGGAGAACCCAGGGCCCTGGAGGCTTAAGCACCTGAATCTGCTCAAAGGGGATCTCGAAGCTGAAGGACTCATTGAAGTATGGGTTCAGGGTCTTCTTCTTCACGGTGGTCTTCTTCTTCTTCAGCCTCTTGCCATTCTGCATCAGGTGGATCTTCACATAGGGGTCTGCAGAGAGAGTCCCAACCCAAGGGGCACCTCAGCCATGCCCACCTTCCAGTGTCCCGAGGCCACTACACAGTCAGACAGACCTCCAACCATACAGGCACCATGCCCTTGGAAAGCCCAGAGAAGGGAGAGGAAGTCCCCAAAGCAGAAAAGCCATGTAGGTCAAGTGCGGGGTGGGGTGTGTGTGTATGTGTGTGTGTATGTGTGTGTGTGTGTGTGTGTGTGTGTGTGTGTGTGCAAGCCAGGTGGGGTGTATGTGTGTTAAAGACTCGTGTGTATGTGTGTGTGTGTGTTAAAGACTCATGTGTATATGTGTGTGTGTAAAAGACTCTGTGTGGCAGGGCAGAAAGGCAGACTTGGGCTCAGTCCTGACACTTCCCACACTTCTGGAGAAAAGTCCTATGCCATTGGCTCATGCGGAGAATGGCATTCTTTTTCTGTCTTCTCTATGACCCACAGAGAACGGCCAGAGGGCAATGGACTGGAATATGGACAGGCAGTCTAGAAGGAGGACGAGCCTGGGAAGCCTGTGCCCCCAGACGCTTTCTATCGCCAACTCACTGGGGCCACACGCTGACACCCAGAGGTTCAGCATTACCTGAAAGGCCCCCCACATCCATCTTCTTGAGGTTCTTGGCCTCCAGGATACAGACTGTGAGCTTGCCGGCAGTGGGCACGTAGCGCAGGGAGGTACAGATGTCACCCAGCTTCTCTGGCTGTCCGGGGCAAGAAGCAGAGCTTAGGTTACTTCTGCCACCACCACCCCCCCCCCCGTCTCTAGTGTGGCTCACCCCATCTTACCAAAACTGGCAAAGCAGTGGCTTCTGGCCACTTCCCTTAGTCACCGGCCCCCACATCAACATCACACACAGCAATTCCCAGCCACTTCCCGAGGAAGCAGCCGGTCAAGAAGACAGAGGACAGGCTATAGAGGAGGGACCTTGTAGTGAGATATTCACCCTGCCTGCACCTGTCACACTGACCACGCCCACTGGGGGTGGGCACAGAGGTGGACTGATGTGGAAAAACTAGGTCTAGGGTCCAGGACCCCAGAGCTCTCTCTTGCTTCCTGAACAGAGAGAGAGCATCCAGAGGCATCCTTGGGACAGGAAGCTGCTGGCGTTCATCTGTCTCTGTTATAAGTTAGTTCTCGCTGAATAAACATCTATTCAGCCTATCTGTTTTTCCACGACAGCAGATGCAGAGAAGGCTCAGATCCCCACCAAGCTGGGGTGAGAAGGGCACACACAGAGAAGGTGCTGTGAGACCAAGCATCTTGGGGAGACCTCTTCCCTGATGGCTTCTGCCTAAACCATCCTTTCCCATCAGCCACTGGGCTTGCAGGACAATGTGTGGGTTTCAAAGCACTTTGCTCTTCCCTTATTATTGCCACTTAAACCTTCTGTGTGGACAAAGCAAGGACACTTTGTAACCAGCAAGAAACCCAGGTTGCCAGGGGGGTTTCCTCCCAGACAGCAAGTGTAGCAATGGGCAGCAGAGGTCTGGAGACTCCACCTAGGCCTCTGCCGGCGCCCAGGGGCGGGGCTCCAGGGAAAGGGTAAGACCGACCAATCACACACCTCTTCCTTCAGCCCCAGCTACAGAAGAAGGCCCGGTGCCTTCACCTCTGCTCCTCCACTGGACATAGGAGTCTGGCTGAAAATTATGACCCATGCCGGCAAGGTAGCTGGATGGGAATTCTAGCACACAGTAAATGAGGGGTCGGCTGCTGGAAAGGCAAGCCACACGCCGAGAATCCTATAGAACCAAGGCTGCCCCTTTTCTTGCGGGTAAACTGAGGCATAGTATCTGACTGACAATGGGGCCTCAGAAGAACAATAACAATGGTGCCCTTATTCCATGGCTTGCTTGACAGACACCAGGCACTGGACAAGGCACTTTGCACAGGCAGTTAATTTCCATCTGGAACCCTCTAAATGAGGATTTTTTTTAAAAGAAGTTTAAGGGTTCCAGAGTTTACGAAGCCCCCCCCCCCCCTTAGCCTGGCTCACACTTTTAATCCCAGCACTCTGGAGGCAGAGGCGGGCGGAGCTCTGTGAGTTCAAGGCCAGCCTGGTCTACGGAGCAAGTTCTAGAACAGTCAAGGGCAACACAGAGAAACCCTGTCTTGAGAAAGGAAAGAGGAGGAGGAAGATGAAAAACAAAACTAAGGAAGCAGCAGCAGCAGCAGCAGCCTGCCCCGGGTCAATAGCCAGGCAGTGAGGAGCTGGACTCTTAGCCCAGCAGACCTGACTCCAAACCTCAGCTCTTCCTAATACCCATGTGGACAAGCAGTCCACTTGACCACTGAGAGGGGGGCCTGGCCTCCCCGCCCTTACCTCTTCCTTCTCCCCGCCTTGTAGGTCTCGCCACTCCTCGATGGGCTGGCCAAGGTCCACGGTGTTCATGGGTACCTTCACCTCTCCGATAATGTCATGCTTAGAGAAGCGATCAAAGTCATAGATGGCCATCACCAGGGTTTTGCCTCCTAACTCCTGGTATGGCACCTGTAGGGCACAGGCAGGGTTCAAAAGAGGTCAAAGTAGCGTGAGCACTTCTGGGGGACGCTGTGGGAAGAGCCCCAAGGCTTGTGCCTGTATTGCGCTCAGGGACCGGGCAGACTGTGGAAACCAGCGTGTAAGAGGGGAGAGGCTACTATGGCCTGCTACTGTGCCATACTGAGCATGCCCCAGGGCTCCGGCCATGGCTGTGGACCAGGGAAAGGTGTGCAGAACACAGGGTCAGAGGGGGAGCCGGAGACCTCCTTCCGGTTTCCATCACCTTGAAAGTGAAGGTCTCGTTGAAGGCAGGGTTCAGTGTCTTCCGGTGCACCTTGGTCTCATACTTCTTCTTCTTGTCCGGGAGGAGGAAGACTTTGACATACGGGTCTGAGGTACCACCCATGTCCAGGGCAGGGAGCTCAGCAGCTTGCAGGACACCCACGGTGAGCTGTGGAGAAAGGCTGTCTCAGTCTCTGGACTGCTCATCTAGCCCCAGATGGGTCTCCTTCTGACCTCTCACCCCTGCCGAAAAGGGAGTCGGGGAAGGGGGGCCAGGCCAAGCTCAGCACGTAAGTTAATAGAAGAGCTCACCTGGAACCTTCCCCAGAGGAGACTGACGGTCAAAACCAAAGGCTGTATGCGCCCCGTGGCTTCCACGGAAAGGCAAGGCCCACACCCTGTCCTCTTTGTCCAGCCCTACACACCTGGTTGGCTTGGAAATCATAGTCCAGAGAAAACTGCAATTTGCCCAGGTTCTCGGGTTCTTTCTCCTCCTCGCCTTCGCCTTCTCCTTCAGTCAGGCCTGTCTCTGCGTCATCATCATCCTAGGAGAGCTGTGGGTAGGAGAAAGGAGTCTAAAGACACAGCAGGCACCCTTCACAAAGACACAGAGCGCCCAAACCCTCACTCAGACCCCTTAGGGGGCGCTGTGGGAAAAACTTGGGCCTGGATTGCCCACAGGGTACAAGGCAGACCGTAGAAACCAGCATGTGAGACAGGAAAGTGACAAGTACACACAGCTCATCAGGGCCCCAGGGCAGACACCCAGTCCCACACTTGGAAGGCATGACTCTGGCTTGGGCAAGAATCTCTCCTCCCTGTGGGGTTAGGCACCATGCCATAGGCCAGATAGCTTCTTGAGATAGGGGGAATTGATGGGGGATGTCCTGTATAATACATGTGTCTCTTATTGGTTGACGAATAAACACTGACTGGCCAGTAACCAATAAGAGGACTAAGCCAATGGCCAAACAATTTATAATTAATATAAATCTCTGTGTGTTTATTTGGGGACTAAACAGCAGCGGGACCAGGCAGGAAAGAAACTCTGTTTACAGGGAATCACTTCCCTTCCAAAACCCTATCAGTCCGTGGCTTAGATTTACCCACCCTGGGTGAGACATACCAGAATTGCAGTCCAGGCAGCCAGGAGCAGGGTGAATCCAGAAAGGCAGAAAGAGAAGGAAGCAATTTAAGAGCAAACCCTTCAGCTGAAGCCAGCCTGAAGTCATGGCTGCTTGGTGAAATCAGTCTGGGTTGTACACACACATGCCTGCATATACATACACACACGTGCGCGCGTATACACAAGAACACACATGCATGCATACATACACACACATGCACATACACAGGAACATACATGCATACATACACACACATACACAGATGTGCACACATACACACCATCCATGCTCACAAAGGCACACGCACACACACGTGCATGCACACACACACACTGTAGACTCCTTTGAGGCCCACCGAGGCGCACAGACGCATGATCCTGACCCTTGGCTGCCTTTGAGGTCAGTCCTTCCTCCCAGCCTTCCTTATGGTGCCTTGAGGAAAGACTCCTCCCAGCCACCCTCCAAACAAGCACCAGAGTGTGAGAGGAGAGACTGGGAAGCAGGTGAGAAGCAGGGGCTGCTGAACCAGCAGCAGCAGGCTGGGGTCCATACTTCATTTACCAGAGGGATGGGCGGATTCCTCCACATGGTCCAGTGCCTTCAAACCTACCCCTCCCTCCTCTCAGCCCTGACCCCACCCAGCCAGCTGCATCTGTTACCGCGCGGCATCTTCCTGGCAGTCATCAGGGTGTCTAGCACTTTGCTCCGGTGGCCTCCTTGGGAGCCCATTCTTTATTCCCATCCTTCTGCCTTTTGAAGGGTGAGCTAGCTCATGCTAAGCCTGCCCTCCAGCTTGGGGTGACTGTCATCATACAGGTATCCTCCCAGCCCCTCCCGGCCCCTCCCCTCCGGCCCCTCCCTGCAACATCCTACCTGGCCCCTCCCAGCCCCTCCCTGCATCCTACCTGGCCCCTCCCAGCCCCTCCCTGCATCCTACCTGGCCCCTCCCAGCCCCTCCCAGCCCCTCCCTCGCCGCACCTACCTGGCCCCCTTTCATGTCCTTCATGTTCATGGCGTTCTTCATGCCCTTGCCCTTCTCCTTCTTATTCTTCTTCTTCTTGCAGCAACACTTCTTACAGATGCAGAAGCAACAGGTGAGCAAGAGGAGACCGGCCACCACGGCCATGGCGATGAGAGCCCAGGGTGGCACTGCCCACACACAGAGCCCCAGCGTCAACACGCTGGGCCCCGCAAGCCCTCGCCCCGAGCACAGACTTGGGACTGTGACTCCCCCATTCTCCGCCCCCACATTTCCTGCCTCACCTGCATGAGGTGTATGAAGACCTCACTCCTAGCTGCCGCCCCCTTGTGGACACAGCCTGCTGGGTTAGCAGCCTGCAGGATCTGAGCAAGGGGAGCAGTTTGGGCTGGTTCCAGTGTTTCAGTTACTCAATCTTTGCACAACTGGCTAACATCACAGCCAAGAGAACGACCCAGAGGCAGAGAAGTTTCCTGAGCTCTAGTTCCCCTAGAAGGCTGGCCTTGCTTAGCCAGAGGCACTGGGGACCCCTTACCCCACCCCACTAAGATGTTCTCTGCTGTCCTGAAACCCTGGCTCCCTCCGGTGTGCTGATCCTGCAGAGGGGACCCTGGTTCCTCAGGGAGAGCCTCTGCCTGGGATTCAGAAAGCTTCCTCTTCTGCACTCCAAAACAAAGCAGTTTCTAAATGCTACTGGAAACCTGAATAATGATTTCTATCTCATATTTTTCACCTTTTATTTTTATCCTTTGGTGGGATTTTAAAGTCGCACTTAAGAGTTGAACCCGCCCCCTAAAGCTTGGCCGATGTAACAAGTCCCTTTGGTGGCCTCATTAATTTTAGACCATACTCCCAGCCCATGCCTGATAGGATTCCCTGAAAAATCCAAGCTGAGAGCCAGCCCAGCCCAGCCCAGCCCAGCCCAGCGGCACACCCCATTCATCAGGCCCAGCCATGTCAGACCACCAAGGCCACTCACAGGGGATCTTGTTGATCTCGTTGAAGAATTTGTCCTTCAGCTTGGCGAACATGTCTTCTTGGCCCTCTCCAGTGCCTGTACTCTCCGTGGAGTTGTCGGCGGGTCTCACAGGCATCGTGGCAGTGGTGGCGGCCGGAGCCACAATGGGCTCCTGGTTCCTCTTGAAGATGTTTCTCATGGTGGCAGAGGGGACAGCTGGGGACGAGAGGGGACAGCGGGGTAAACATCCCAGAAGCTCTGTCCTAAGGACCAGGAGACATTTCCAAGCTAAACACCATGGCTGTTTCTCTCTCTGCATCCCAAAGGTGTCGAGTGCCGAGTCAGCAATGTGCAGAGACAACGGCCGTCAGTGACGCAGTACAGGCATGCTCGGGCCGTGACGGGGACTACTGCGTGTGAGCTACACATACAAATCCAACAACAGTCTGAGGTGGGGATTTTATTGTGTTTGGGGGGATGTGTGATTGTTTTCTCTCACTCTTCTCGCTTAACAGCTGGGGAAACGGGCCCAAAGAGCTAAGAATCCTGAGGCCACTCCAGCCTGACAGACTCTGCCTGGCTCCAAAGCCTAGAGACTGCTTTCCTGTGTGCATCTGACCTCCCACAGCTCTGGGAAGAAGCAAGGCTCCGAGGTCACTGAGGTCACAGGATGGCTCAGCCCGCCCCCTGCCCGTCTCCATGACAGGAGGATGCTCACTGTCTGTACTGGCCTCCAGTACCTGCTCAGGTTCCTGCCCTACCTTTTCAGATCCACACCTCCATCCCTGCTCCTCCCAGCGGCCCTAGAGCCAAGAGGTGGCATCCACTGGTGACAGGAAAACCCAAGGAGATGGGAAAGAAAGGCATGGGCAGAGACACTGGGGTGGGGCGGACACCCCATGATCCTACCAACCAGAGCGCGAAGGCGCTTGGCACACTTCCGACCAGGATTCTCTCTGTCTCATGTCTAGACCATACAATGTGTAAGTTGGCACTCTGCTTATACTTTTCCTTTCATTTTGTCTTCATCACTAAGGGGCTAAATTGTATCCTACCATACATAGTAGTACTATGGTCTTTTTCTTCCATCAGTAATAGACCTTCCATTGCTATGCGGCTGGGGTATAAACAAATGGTAGCCCTTGCTTAGCATGTGCTTGCCTAGGTTCTGTACCCAGCACCAGTACACACACATGTATATGTAGTAAGATATACATATATATTTATACATGCATATATTGTAACTACAACCACATCTATACATACACATCTATAGCAAGATGAGCATAAACTGCGGTCTTCATGCAAAGCTATACTCTCACAAGCTTCCAAACCCCACCCTGCCCTCTGTGCCTTCTCTCATACTGCTCTGCTGCTCAAAGGGGTGTGGGCCTCTTCAACTCACATCCCCATAGGACAGGGGCTGTGCTGTGTTGACATTAGCCTCTCCTGTGTCGCATGCACACATTTCTAAGTCACAGTTCTTGACATCTGGGTCGCTTGCCTTTGAGACAGGATCTGACTACGCTGCATAGACTGGTCTTGAACTCACAATTTGATGCCTCAGTCTCCCAGGTGCTGGAGTTAGAGGTGTGCAATGGAACGTCTGTTTGTGTCTGACTCCTTTCCTTTACTGTGTTAAGCTTCTTCCAAAATGTGGCCTCTATCACAGTTTTGTTGGGGTTTTTTGTTTGTTTGTTTTGAGACTGGGTTTCTCTCTGTGTAACAGCCCTGGCTGTCCTGGAACTCGTTCTGTAGACCAGGCTGGCCTTGAACTCACAGAGATCTACCTACGCTGCCTCCTGGGAGCTGGAATTAAAGGCATTCGCCACCACTGCCCAGCCTGTATCAGTTCTTTATTGTTTCTTACAAATAAATTAAATTCCCCTACATAAATAACACATTGATATTGATCCATTCATCAATGTATGGGCATTTGGGCTATTTCTGCTTTGGGGCTATAATTGTGAATTATTGTGAGTATCTACATATGTTTTTGTTTATCTTGGCTATAGTTGGGAGGAAAATCACTAGGTTGTGTGGGAACTATATTTGATGTTTTAAGGCGTCACCAAACTCTCTTCCAGGGTGACGGCATGAGTCTGTGTTCCCAAACACAGTGTCTGTAGATCACAAGCATTCCCCTGTCACAGTGTTCACGAGGGTGGAACAGACGCCTGGCTGTGGCTGTGACCCGAATTTCTCTACTGTCTGACAGGTTGGGCAGCTGTCCACCACTCACCAGCCATTTGATTATTTTCTTTAGGGAAATATCTATTCAAATCCTTTACTAATTAAAAGATTAGTGTATTTTATGGGGTGACACATGTGTGCCACAGTGTAAGTGTGGAGATCGGAGGACAGCTTGAAGAATCTATTCTCTCCTGTCACTATATGGGTTGTGGAGTCCCCCATACAGGCACTCAGGTCGTCAGGCTTGGTGGCAATCACCTTTACCCTCCGAGCCATCTTGCCAGCCCCTTTGCCACTTTTAAATTGCATGTTTGTCTTTTTACTGTTGAATTATACCATTTACATATTCTGGATTGCAGCTTCTCATCAGACAGGGAGCTCTGGTCTGTCAGGTTACATTCCCTGCCCATATATACTGCAGAAAGAGCCAGTAATGTCCCCACTGCACAGGGGACAGGGGAGTGTCCAATAAATCATTTACAAATAATTCTTTAATCTGTCTTTCTATTTTTTTTGTGATGTCCTTTAAAACATAAAGGTTTTTAATCTTGATGAAGACAGTTTCTTTGATTGCTTATATTTTCAGTGGTGTGTCTAAGAATCAATCACACAGATTATGTCGCCAAGATTAGATTTAGCTAAGATTTTGGTTCTTGCATTATGGTGGTGGTGGTAGTGGTGGTGGTGTGTGTGTGTGAGAGAGAGAGAGAGAGAGAAAGAGAGAGAGAAGAGATGCAGGGGGGCAGACAGACAGACAGACAGGCGTTGGGGTGCAAACTAAAGTGGATCCTGTAGAAGTTCATTTGACACGGGAAAAAACATCATTCTGGCCACATGTAACAAACATGGCATGCTTGAAAAACACCCACGATGTTAATCTCGAGAAAGACAGGCGCTATGTAAATACCCTCCAAAGGGTCAGAACTCACATGGCACTGGGAATTTGAGCATCTGTCTTCCCACGCTCAGGACGACTTTCTTCCTTTCTTGATAAACCAACTCTATTTCTGTTACCATGTGTCCCTGGTCCAGTGTATTGTTCCGGGATGCGAGAGCCTGAACATCCCAGCAGGCACACCCCACACCCCAGACTCAGATCTGCACCTGAAGCAGCTGGCAAGTCGGCCCCAGGGTGATATCTGTGCTGTCTCTTAGTTCTGCCTTCCCCTTCACTTCCCCGTTCACTTAGCCCAGAGCACCTGAAGGTGGGCAAGCTCCCACAGAAGGGTAGCGTGGGGACAGCCCTCCCCCCATTCCTGTCTTTTCCACAGCCCATGTGGCCAAGGGCTTGGCCCTCCTCTTTCAACCTCCTGGGGTGTGAGACAATGGCTCGCACACTGGCCACTGACTGGAGAACAGTGCTACTTCAAATTGGCTGAGTCTGGGAAATACGTGGAGGAGACCAGATACGGGGTAGCCGTGCTGGTGCTAATAAACGCAATGCCACGCTCTCAAGTTCCTGCGTGGTTGGTATCCACTCATCCGCTTGTCTTCCCCCTTCCTGGGCATCCACCCAGATGACAGCAGTGGGAGGCAGGGCTATGGACCAGACACTGCAGTGGCTCTTGCCACACAGAGAGAATTCTCCAGCAGACACGGCACAGAGATAATTCCCTCAGAGACCTGCACTGACTGTCTCCCTCAGGGCCCTAAAGCCAGCTGGCTTCACATGCTGACCCCAGGGGACACTTAGCTAACCTGCTTGCCCACATGTCTACACCAGTGCCTTGGTATTTCTCCATTGTACCTTAACGGCTCTCAGTTTCTCTGTGTTCCTTAAATACAGGTAGGTCTATCCCCAAGATAGCTTCCCAGGAGACAAGACAGTCTCCTCAATACGAGGTTCAAAGGAGACCGGGGGGGGGGGTACCATTTGTACGTTTAACTCCAATGGTAATTTAAAAGCAAATAAAAAGGGCAAAGCCATCCATAAAACTCAGTCTCTTCCCTGATAGGGCAGCCCAATAGCTCGAGAATTTTATTGGTCCTACCCCCCTTCTTTGGAGAATTAATTTACCAAGATAAAAGAAATCATCTCAGGGACAGCGCAAAAGGGCCTGGTCCACTGGACTCAGCTCTGAAAGAGACAGTGTGAGCAATGGATTCAGACCCTGACCCGCAAAGGCTCAGACCCAAACCAGAATCTCTGACCCGCCTTGGGATGCCTGGGTAACAAATGATGGAGGACGGCTCTAATCCATCAGACGTCCTTGAGGACTTGGAGGACAAGAGTAATGTCTTTCTTCAGAGGCCCTGTCACTTAAGCCTGTCCCTTGGGACTCCGAGACTGTTCAACCTCAAGAACTGGGATAAGGTTTATCCTGAAAATATGAAGGGAAAGAAGGCTACGATTTTACTGGAATCCCCTCTGGCCTCAGTGCAAGCTGGGTGATGGGGAAATTCAGATAAAGACAGGACATTGAACTGTAGCATCGTCCCGCAGCAGGGCCAACTTGGCACGAACAGCTGGAAATGATAAGCTGTGCTTCTCATGGCTTTCTACCAGCGTAAGGGATGATGCAAAGAAAAGAGTAACCCTCTGGTAGCCTACATGTGTCCCTTTAGTTTTAAAACGGCAGTGGTGGGCAACAGGTCTTAGGTACTATGTTTCTCCTACTCCGAGAAGCCCCAGGCCGCCTCCAATACCCTTACTCACTCCATCTTACCTGAAAGGAGGCAGGAAGTCTGGGGGACACACAAGTGTGGTACTGTCACCATTTCTTGTCTACAACACTCCCCTTAGGGGAAGAGTCTCTTCACTGTGGACAATTAGAGTTCATGTTCCTTTTTCAGACACAGGCCTTCAGCAGTACAAGAAAAAGTTTGGGTTCTTCTCTAAGAACTCCCCAGAGCATGACAAAGAACCAGCTCTTACTAATGGCCATGCCTGTCTGTATCCTAGCTCTGGCCTCATGGGGACTTCAAAGATTTCCTGCCTCCTCGGTCACTACAGGCTTCCCCCACAGCAGGCCCTTTGTGCTCTCTCTCTCTCTCTCTCTCTCTCTCTCTCTCTCTCTCTCTCT